CGCCTGCCTTACAGGCAGCTTCCCACATAGAAGGCAGTGGCGAGGGGGGAGAAGGGCTGCTATACCTTGTTCCTGCCCCCTCAAGGTCACTTCCCCCTGGACTTACAGCGACATGCTCCTGTCTCCCCTCCTTGGGGTATGAATTTGTCCTAGAGCTAGACATCATGCCCTGACCTAGCCTAGCCTCCAGTTGCCCCGAAAGCTAGAAAAAAACCAAACTGTTTGGGGTGAACTGTGTGGCTGTAGATTAACTTTCTTCCAGCCTAGCCGCTGATCCCCCCAGCAGTCCCTCCCTTGGCCTGTGTCTGCGGGCCAGGTGTCACGGCTGTTCCTCACTCTGGCACAACATGCAGAAGTGGGGGCCTGAAAAAGCACCCCAAAACCTGATCTCTCCAGGCTTTGGTACAAAACTTTCCCCCAAATCCTAATACCCGGACTTTGGAGAACAGAAAACCGCTGCCACCACCCAAGTATTTGTAAGAAACCAGGGAAGAGATCACTTGGGAAATCTCCTCCCTAAACCTCAGGGGCACCTCAAGCTGGCTTCCCCAAAGAGCTTGGAAAAGAAGAGAGAAAATACGAGCTGCAGTCTGAGGAAGCTGCCCCCTAGTCAGAGGCTGCAGATACCACAGACAGATTTTCCAGGACACAGAAATGAGTCAATACCAGGCTAATAAAAAAAGAAGCTAACTTTTATTATCAAATCAAAACCACAGTTGCCAGCATAGTGACTAGATGGAAGAGAGTCACCCATTCATCTAGATACTCAGGGGGATTCCCTGGGCTCAGGACTTAGTTACAAAAGAGAGGGGAAACCTACTTTTAACAGCACAGACATCAATTCCACATTCCCAAACCATAAAACAATAAAACCTGTTGCGTTATCTACACCGTGTCCTACTTACACTGATAAGAAGTCCATTCTTGAGAGAGAGACAGGTCTTTCCATTTCCCTGTTACATGGAAGAAACTGCTCTGACTCAGACAAAGGAGGGGAAAGTTATATGTTTCTTTGTCCTGGTTTGAAATCCCTACCTGCCTTACCATTGGCTGACCAGATACCTGGCTAGGTTAACCCCTTAGTCCCCAGGCTGCTGGCCAGCCCTCATAGTTAATGATACGCCCCCCAAATCGCAGACGGTGCTGGACAACCTCTGGCCACACTAGCTGTGACTTCTTCTTGGAGGTCTGGGATAAAACATAATAAATAAGTACAGGCCCCCTTGACATTCCTAGCGAATACATGAGAATCAAACAACCCCTTCCACATCTGTGGAGTACCATGACTTATATACAGAGAGAGTCCTAAGCGCATTCCTTGTAGAGCATTCCTTTTTGCCAAGGCCCCGTGTTGTTGACTTATTTTAACTGCCCCTTTAACCAACCAAACTCTCAATTTCAAAATCAAATTTAGAATAACATGGGGTCCTGATCCAAAGCTCAATTGACCAGGTTCTGTGCATCCAGCTGAATACACCACTGTCGTACACCAGGACGGGTCTTGGCACTTTACTGAGGGCGTCAGCTCAGGGTGAATTGCTCAAAACCAGGGCTATTTACTGCCCTCAGCTGGGGACTTTTCCCAAGGCACCCCGCCAGTTACACGGAAATCCAGCCAGAAGCCTCACCAGCAAAACCCCTCAGACACCCCAGCTTCCCAGTGCCACCGTCAGACCTAGGCCTCACACGCAGGTGGGAGGTTGTAAAACCCCCCTCACCAACTCTGAACAGAGCCTCCTGGTCCCACGGGCCCAGCCCCAGCTCCAGGCCAATGTTCACGTTGGAGCTTACCTACAAGAGCACGCTGGGCCGACCCTTTAGAATCTAGACGCCAAAGGTGTATTCACAGAAGAAAGACAAAGTGGAGAGTGAGATTGTTAATCATAGAATCCCAGAACCATAAAGAGACCTCAGGAGCCATCAAGTCCAGCCCCCTGCTCCAGGCAGGACCAATCCCAACTAGATCAACCCGGCCAGGGCTTTGTCAAGCCGACACTTAAACACCTCTAGGGATGGAGACTCCACTACCTCCCTAGGGAACCCATCCCAGTGCTTACCAGCCTCCGGGCAGTGCGGCTGGCCTTGGGGAGGGAGGGGGCCGGGGTGGGGGCAGCACGGCTGGCCTCGGGGAGGGGGACTGGTCCCCGCTCCCCCAGAGCTGCTTCCCACTCCCCTCTTCCCCCAGCCAGTCCCTCTTCCTTCCCCCCTCCCACCCAAGATCAAGTGTGTCCAGTTTTTTGGGGGAGGGTCTACCTGGCAACCCTACGAGTCCAACTCGGTGCAGGCACCAAGTGATGGGGAGACTGCCGGAACTTTGGGAACCAGAGACTGCGAGGTGGGGGTTTGTGGCCCAAAAGGGGGCTGAGAAACCTGAGAGACAGACTAGGGGGAGCAGCTGAAGGGTGACAGTCAGGGCGACCCTAGAACTCTGTTACAGACCAGCTGGCGGCTGCTGCAAGAGGAGGGGAAAATAAGGTGAACTGGGCCTGACAGATTTACAGATCTCTTGGCCTTTCACCACTAACCTCTGCTTCCTCCTGGAATTAGATGTTAAGCTCACGGACAGATTACAACTGTCTGCAGTGTCCAGAGCTGGGAGTTTACCTGCCATCTCCTGCATTCCACAGAGATTCACTACAACACAGCTGCTCCCCTGAACCTGAGACACACCTTGTCCCCTCCCGGAATCCAACTGTCCCAACCACACTAACTTCCTAGCAAGCTGGACAAACACAGTCACTTGGACATCAGAGGTTGCTCCGTCTCTCTGGCGGCCTCCACTCCATCTGAAACAACCTCCAATCCCTCTGCAGCTTCTTCACAACTGGTCATATTAGATCTTTCTAAACCCAAGTCACCTTCACCCCCTTCAGGCACAGCAGCCTGCTGGCCAATATCACCATGAGGATTCTCTTCCCTAGGAACTTCTCTGTGAGCAAAAGCTCCCCTTCCCCTGGCCCTACAGCAGCATCACTCTGCTGAGCCACCCCCAACTCCTCCTGAGTTTCCCCTACACCCTGAATCACCTCTGGCCCACTAGGCAGGTTTGCACACAACCCCCTTTCAGGCAAACAAACAGACTTCTCTGGTAAGATGTCAGAGACATCCTCCTTCCCCTTGCAGCTTCCTAGACTGCTCAGCTAAAACTCCGCTCTGGCCAGCCCCTCCAGACTGCTCCAGAGAAACACTTCCCTGATTACTGGGCTCTCCCTGCCCCGTTTCTTATTCCAGCCTCACCTCTGAGGCATCAGGCAGACACGCAGAAATCTTACTCACAGACACACAGCTCTCCAGCATAGACACACAGCTATCTCCCTCAGTCAAACACTTAGGCTACGTCTAGACTGGCATGATTTTCTGCAAATGCTTTTAACGGAAACGTTTTCTGTTAAAAGCATTTTCGGAACAGAGCATCTAGATTGGCACGGACGCTTTTCCGCAAAAGCACTTTTTGTGGAAAAGTGCCCATGCCAGTCTAGACGCGCTTTTCCGCAAAAAAGCCCCAATCGCCATTTTCGCGATCGGAGCTTTTTTGCTCAACACAAATCTGCGCTGTCTACACTGGCCCTTTTGTGCAAAAGCTTTGCACAAAAGGACTTTTGCCCGAACGGGAGCAGCACAGTATTTCCGCAAGAAGCACTGATTTCAGACAGTAGGAAGTCAGTGCTTTTGCGGAAATTCAAGCGGCCAGTGTAGACAGCTGGCAAGTTTTTCCGCAAAAGCAGCTGCTTTTGTGGAAAAACTTGCCAGTCTAGACGCAGCCTACGGTAGAGAAACTTCTCTCTGGGTCACTGTAGGGCTGGTTAGCCACAGACAACTTCCCAGAATCACACTCACCCCTTCACAAACCTCCCTGTTAGCTACAGGCAGCACAGATTTACCCTCTAGCTGTTCTGGGGCTGGGTTAAGGCACCAGCCCAATTACACAGATTAGCCATGCTATGCCCACACGGTTGTACACAGAACTCCTAGGAGGGTACAGTCTCTGCTGTTCTTCCACTCGTTGGGTGTTGAATAATGACTGTAGCATTCGTGGGAGCAGGGTGGGTAGCTGCTGAAGTTGGAGCACCCAGCTGCTTAGCTTTCACCATTTCCACTTTGGCCTTCGCTTTAGCAATCCTGGTTTGTGCTTCTATTTCTGCTCACCTCACCTTTGCCATTGCTGGTAGCCTCATTTGTTTTTCTACTTCTATTTGTGCTAGCCTTGCCTGATGTTCTTGCTGGGTGTGCGTCTCCTCGGCCTCTCATTGTGTGCGCTTCGCCTGATGCTTTGTGTGTATTTGCTCCAGTCGTCCTAAAAACTTCACCTCTTTCTCAGTTAGAGGTCTGCCGGCTGCCTTACAGGCAGCTTCCCACATAGAAGGCAGTGGCGAGGGGGGAGAAGGGCTGCTATACCTTGTTCCTGCCCCCTCAAGGTCACTTCCCCCTGGACTTACAGCGACATGCTCCTGTCTCCCCTCCTTGGGGTATGAATTTTTCCTAGAGCTAGACATCATGCCCTGACCTAGCCTAGCCTCCAGTTGCCCCGAAAGCTAGAAAAAAACCAAACTGTTTGGGGTGAACTGTGTGGCTGTAGATTAACTTTCTGTGTGCCTTTCCCCAAGACACCAACAGGAAAGAAAAACACAAGAGAAAAAGAGGAAGAAAAACCCTCCAAAGCTTGCAAGTACTCAAAAGAAAAACCTGTCTCTTTTTAAAATCCTGGGTTCTCAAAACGATCCCACCACTATGCCACCATGTCACGGCTCCTTCCCCACTCATGCAGAAGTGGGGGCCTGAAAAAGCACCCCAAAACCTGATCTCTCCAGGCTTTGGTACAAAACTTTCCCCCAAATCCTAATACCCGGACTTTGGAGAACAGAAAACCGCTGCCACCACCCAAGTATTTGTAAGAAACCAGGGAAGAGATCACTTGGGAAATCTCCTCCCTAAACCTCAGGGGCACCTCAAGCTGGTTTCCCCAAAGAGCTTGAAAAAGAAGAGAGAAAATACGAGCTGCAGTCTGAGGAAGCTGCCCCCTAGTCAGAGGCTGCAGATACCACAGACAGATTTTCCAGGACACAGAAATGAGTCAATACCAGGCTAATAAAAAAAGAAGCTAACTTTTATTATCAAATCAAAACCACAGTTGCCAGCATAGTGACTAGATGGAAAAGAGTCACCCATTAATCTAGATACTCAGGGGGATTCCCTGGGCTCAGGACTTAGTATAGGGTTGTCAGATACTTTCACAAAAAATCCCAAAGATGGTTGGAAAAAATTGGTTGAGAAAAAACAAACAAAAAACCAACCAAACAAAAACACAAAAACAAAAAATGGGGGGACAAAACTTGTTGAGCAGAACAAAAAAGGTCCAGTATTTGCTGGGTTTTTTTTACCCAGGAGATCCCTGCACACAGCAGCCATGTCAACACCCCACAGCTCCCAGTCACCAATCCCGTCCCCAGGGTCCCACTCTGACCCCAAGACTCCTTTCTGCAGTACTTTCTAGACAGCCGCTTTCCATTCTGTGTGCGTGAGACTGATTGGTCCGTCCTAAGTGGGGCACGTTGTCCTTATTAAACTGCATCCTATTTACCTCAGGCTCTTTCTCCAGTTTGTCCAGATCAGTTTGAACTAGGACCCTCTCTCCCCACGCACTCGCAACCCCTCCCAGCTTGGTGTCATCTGCAAACTTAATAAGCCTCCTCTCTAAGCTAATATCTAAATTGTTGACGAAGATGCTGAATAGGACCAGTCCCAAAGCAGACCCCCACTTGTTCTGCCCTCCCAGCATGACTGTGAACCATTGGTAACGACTCTCTGGGAACAGTTCTCCAGCCAGTTATGCACCCGCCTTACAGTAGCCCCATCTAGGTTGTATTTCCCTAGCTTGTTAATGAGATGGTCACGTGACTCCGTATCAAATGCCTGACAAGTCTAAAGGTCCCTACCAATCCTGCGTCCTTTGGATTTGCCCTCAGACCCATCCCCTGAGCTCTCCTTTTGCTGCTTGACAGGGGCTCTGATGCAGAAATGCATCCTTCAGTCAACGTGTTAATTAAAGCCTGGAAAAGTTGAACAGATTTTCTTGTGCCCCAGACCGAACATGTTCCGGGGTCACCACGCAGAACGCAGGCAAAACGCCCCACACCAGACAGAAGAGGTGACCGAGGGCCAGACCTGAAAAGGTATTGAAAAATCCCCTGGGGGCCTTGTGTACCCGAATCCCTTTCTGACTCTGGCCCCTAGACACTGCCGCAGAGCCTGGCGTCCCCAGCCCTGCATCCAAACAAAATCTTCAGTGCCAAAAGGGGGCCCTCCCAGCACCCCTACGCCCGCAGACGCCTGCCACACTCGAGTACCTCAGGACCGGGATTTCCTGGCTTTTCTGCTGGGGCCTCTGCGAATCCCAGAGGGGCTGAGTAACAGGAGGGCAGCCCCAGGAGACTCCAGAGCCATTGGCAGGGCAGGTCTTGAGGCAGGGTGTGTGCGCAGCAGGTGAGGGGAGATGGCCACGAAGGGGGCTCAGGTCAGGAACAGCCAGAGGGGCCATGGGAAATGGGCACAGGTGGGGCTGGGGGTGCAGCATGTAGGGTGCTGAAGAGGTGCAGGGGGGGACTGGAGGGTGCTGTGTGTGTGCTGGGGGGCGGGTTGTAGGAGCTCGGGGCTGGGGGTGCAGCATGTAGGGTGCTGAAGAGGTGCAGGGGGGGACTGGAGGGTGCTGTGTGTGTGCTGGGGGGCGGGTTGTAGGAGCTCGGGGCTGGGGGTGCAGCATGTAGGGTGCTGAAGAGGTGCAGGGGGGGACTGGAGGGTGCTGTGTGTGTGCTGGGGGGCGGGTTGTAGGAGCTCGGGGCTGGGGGTGCAGCATGTAGGGTGCTGAAGAGGTGCAGGGGGGGACTGGAGGGTGCTGTGTGTGTGCTGGGGGGCGGGTTGTAGGAGCTCGGGGCTGGGGGTGCAGCATGTAGGGTGCTGAAGAGGTGCAGGGGGGGACTGGAGGGTGCTGTGTGTGTGCTGGGGGGCGGGTTGTAGGAGCTCGGGGCTGGGGGTGCAGCATGTAGGGTGCTGAAGAGGTGCAGGGGGGGACTGGAGGGTGCTGTGTGTGTGCTGGGGGGCGGGTTGTAGGAGCTCGGGGCTGGGGGTGCAGCATGTAGGGTGCTGAAGAGGTGCAGGGGGGGACTGGAGGGTGCTGTGTGTGTGCTGGGGGGCGGGTTGTAGGAGCTCGGGGCTGGGGGTGCAGCATGTAGGGTGCTGAAGAGGTGCAGGGGGGGACTGGAGGGTGCTGTGTGTGTGCTGGGGGGCGGGTTGTAGGAGCTCGGGGCTGGGGGTGCAGCATGTAGGGTGCTGAAGAGGTGCAGGGGGGGACTGGAGGGTGCTGTGTGTGTGCTGGGGGGCGGGTTGTAGGAGCTCGGGGCTGGGGGTGCAGCATGTAGGGTGCTGAAGAGGTGCAGGGGGGGACTGGAGGGTGCTGTGTGTGTGCTGGGGGGCGGGTTGTAGGAGCTCGGGGCTGGGGGTGCAGCATGTAGGGTGCTGAAGAGGTGCAGGGGGGGACTGGAGGGTGCTGTGTGTGTGCTGGGGGGCGGGTTGTAGGAGCTCGGGGCTGGGGGTGCAGCATGTAGGGTGCTGAAGAGGTGCAGGGGGGGACTGGAGGGTGCTGTGTGTGTGCTGGGGGGCGGGTTGTAGGAGCTCGGGGCTGGGGGTGCAGCATGTAGGGTGCTGAAGAGGTGCAGGGGGGGACTGGAGGGTGCTGTGTGTGTGCTGGGGGGCGGGTTGTAGGAGCTCGGGGCTGGGGGTGCAGCATGTAGGGTGCTGAAGAGGTGCAGGGGGGGACTGGAGGGTGCTGTGTGTGTGCTGGGGGGCGGGTTGTAGGAGCTCGGGGCTGGGGGTGCAGCATGTAGGGTGCTGAAGAGGTGCAGGGGGGGACTGGAGGGTGCTGTGTGTGTGCTGGGGGGCGGGTTGTAGGAGCTCGGGGCTGGGGGTGCAGCATGTAGGGTGCTGAAGAGGTGCAGGGGGGGACTGGAGGGTGCTGTGTGTGTGCTGGGGGGCGGGTTGTAGGAGCTCGGGGCTGGGGGTGCAGCATGTAGGGTGCTGAAGAGGTGCAGGGGGGGACTGGAGGGTGCTGTGTGTGTGCTGGGGGGCGGGTTGTAGGAGCTCGGGGCTGGGGGTGCAGCATGTAGGGTGCTGAAGAGGTGCAGGGGGGGACTGGAGGGTGCTGTGTGTGTGCTGGGGGGCGGGTTGTAGGAGCTCGGGGCTGGGGGTGCAGCATGTAGGGTGCTGAAGAGGTGCAGGGGGGGACTGGAGGGTGCTGTGTGTGTGCTGGGGGGCGGGTTGTAGGAGCTCGGGGCTGGGGGTGCAGCATGTAGGGTGCTGAAGAGGTGCAGGGGGGGACTGGAGGGTGCTGTGTGTGTGCTGGGGGGCGGGTTGTAGGAGCTCGGGGCTGGGGGTGCAGCATGTAGGGTGCTGAAGAGGTGCAGGGGGGGACTGGAGGGTGCTGTGTGTGTGCTGGGGGGCGGGTTGTAGGAGCTCGGGGCTGGGGGTGCAGCATGTAGGGTGCTGAAGAGGTGCAGGGGGGGACTGGAGGGTGCTGTGTGTGTGCTGGGGGGCGGGTTGTAGGAGCTCGGGGCTGGGGGTGCAGCATGTAGGGTGCTGAAGAGGTGCAGGGGGGGACTGGAGGGTGCTGTGTGTGTGCTGGGGGGCGGGTTGTAGGAGCTCGGGGCTGGGGGTGCAGCATGTAGGGTGCTGAAGAGGTGCAGGGGGGGACTGGAGGGTGCTGTGTGTGTGCTGGGGGGCGGGTTGTAGGAGCTCGGGGCTGGGGGTGCAGCATGTAGGGTGCTGAAGAGGTGCAGGGGGGGACTGGAGGGTGCTGTGTGTGTGCTGGGGGGCGGGTTGTAGGAGCTCGGGGCTGGGGGTGCAGCATGTAGGGTGCTGAAGAGGTGCAGGGGGGGACTGGAGGGTGCTGTGTGTGTGCTGGGGGGCGGGTTGTAGGAGCTCGGGGCTGGGGGTGCAGCATGTAGGGTGCTGAAGAGGTGCAGGGGGGGACTGGAGGGTGCTGTGTGTGTGCTGGGGGGCGGGTTGTAGGAGCTCGGGGCTGGGGGTGCAGCATGTAGGGTGCTGAAGAGGTGCAGGGGGGGACTGGAGGGTGCTGTGTGTGTGCTGGGGGGCGGGTTGTAGGAGCTCGGGGCTGGGGGTGCAGCATGTAGGGTGCTGAAGAGGTGCAGGGGGGGACTGGAGGGTGCTGTGTGTGTGCTGGGGGGCGGGTTGTAGGAGCTCGGGGCTGGGGGTGCAGCATGTAGGGTGCTGAAGAGGTGCAGGGGGGGACTGGAGGGTGCTGTGTGTGTGCTGGGGGGCGGGTTGTAGGAGCTCGGGGCTGGGGGTGCAGCA